AGGTTCCTAAGAGTACGCATGCGAACTCTTAGGATTCGTGCGTACTCCTAGGGATACATGAAATGAATTTCTTACTTTTTGTTTTAGTTCGTTATAATAGGTAAATACAAGCGAAAGAGCGATAGATCATTAAAATTTACTCAAGAAATCATCGACCAAGCAAGGGACCGCATCGGGAAAGTAAAAGATCGGTCGCAAAGTCCTTTCATGGAAATGAGTGCACATTAAGAAAAAGATTGCGAGAGGTAATATTAAACTGACGATTTTAACGTTTAAATAAAATTTTATTTTTGGGTACTATTCCATCTAGTCTGAGTAGATTTAAGCCTGTGTTTTCACAAGCACAGGAAAAGGAATTGGCTGACCATATCAGAGTTCTAGATAACAGATTTTATGGAATGCCTATGAAAGACGTTAGGTCCTTGGCCTTTCAGTATGCAGTATTAAATAAAATTCCGCATAGGTTTAATACAGAAAACAATATGGTGGGGAAACACTGCGTACAAGATTTTGCAGCATGAAATATTTGTCTCTAAGAGCTCCAGAAAAATGCAGCTTAGGTCGCGCTATCGGCTTTGATAAAGTTCAGTGTCGACGCTTTTTCGAAAATTTAAAAGTAGTTTACGAAAAATTAAAACTACCACCACACACGATCTTTAATAGGGACGAGACGGGATTATCTACCGTACCAAACAAGCTCCCTAAAGTTTATGCTTGTAAAGGGAAGAAAACCGTGTCAGAAGTTGTATCAGGTGAACGAGGTCAGCTAGTTACGGCTGTATGCTCATGCTGCATGAGCGCTGGTGGTACTTGGGTTTCGCCAGGTCTTATTTTCGCAAGAAAAAGAATGAAGGAGGAACTTTTTTTTGGAGCACCTCCTGGGACATTAAAAATTATCTCAGATTCAGGTTATATGAACACTGATTTGTTTGTAATTTGGTTGCGACATTTTTGCGACTTTGTAAAACCATCGGAAACAGATCCAGTGGTTTTAATAATGGACAATCACACATCCCATTTCTCATTGGAGACCATTTTATTCTCTAGAAGTCATTTTATAACCCTACCTCCTCATGCAAGCCATAAAATTCAACCCTCAGATAAAGGATTATTCTTTCCCTTAAAAACAGCTTTTTCAAGCGAATGCGATAAATGGATGGTCAACAACCCTGGACGTGCTATTACTTTAAAAGAAATGGCAGTCATTTTCCATTTTGCTTATTCAAAAGTCACACAATAATTTGCTTGCACTGGTTTGTTTCCTTATAACCCAGACGTTTTTAGTGATTTAGATTTTGCTCCATCTGAGGTCACAGACAGACCACATCTAGAGCTGGCCCAAGAAACTCAATCTGAAATACAAAGAATCGAATCATCTGCTGAAGAGAGTTCATCTGATGACAATTGCACTCTTTCAGAAGTAAGAAATAGCATAATAAAAGAAAACTTAAAACTACCCGAAGAACAGCAATCTACGATTCCCGAACCACAAAGTTCAGACGTTACTAAAAGTACAGCTTACTTTAAAGCAGCTCCTAAGGAACTAAGTGCACCAGGTACAAGTGGCTATATGCCGCCTAAAAAAGATAAGGCAAAATTGTTGGAAAATGAGCAAACTAGAACACCAAGTCCAAAAAGTCCAGCCTTTACCAAAATTTCAACTTATGTTGAGGCTACGTCTGCGGCACCGATTGATCTATAGTCAACGCCAAACAAAGTGGCGTGCACGTCATCAAGGTGGGTGTGTTGAAAAATTTACATTGTTGCCAAACTTTTTGTAAAATAATAAAATTTATTATTTACATATCTGGGTTTATAAGCAATATTAACCTCAAATGAGAACAAAAATAATAGTATAATAAAATTATAGATCTGTACTTGCATAATCATTAAGTATGACAATTATTGATCAGATGACACTATGAAACTACCATATTTAATTGATAGCTTTAAAGGTACTGAATAAAAATCCAAATGGGGTCCTCCAAATTTTATGCATTTATTTTACAGAATTCATACAGAAAAATGCATTCTAAAATTAGGTAAGCTACTGGTGTAAGCTTTTTCTGTACAATAAAGTTAGTCGGAGTTTCTTTCTTCAGCGCTGTCTGAATCTGAATCTTCATCACTCTCAAAGTTGATTATTAAAGGTTCGATGTCTGGTCGATCAAAAATTCGTTCTCTTTCATACCATTTAAAAATTTCTTGCTCAGTATGTCGAACACTATTTTTCCACATGTCTGGGGTAACCGTTTGTAGAGCCTCGTTCCACATATCCAAACAGTCTTTTTCACTGTTACCATCTCTACCAATATGTCTGTTATAGTAACCTTTTGCTATGCCCCAAATTAACTCAATAGGGTTAAATATACAATGGTAAGGAGGCAGACGAAGAACTTTGTGCCCATGTTGTTCCGCCAATTCATCAATCACGTATATTTTAGGTGGTTTGTTTCTAAAAAAGCAGTTATTTTAAGAATAGGAATAAACAAAAGAAATATAAACTGTCGACCAAATATATATAATTAAGAAGCATTATGTACCGAGCAACAATACTCAATAGCTCTGTTTTAAACATTGTGTTTAAAATGGTATGTTTTGATTTGTCAACCAGTCTTGGATATTTTTTTTTGTCCATGCATTGTTGGGCACTTTGTTCAATATCATGCTGTGATAAGGGGCGTTATCCAGTATAATCATAGATGGACTCTCCAATTTTTCTAATGACTGATGTTGAAACCATTTCAAAAAATTGTCCTGGTTCATCTCTCCATGGTAATCGCTCAATTTTGTTTTCGAAGAAAATATCGCTTCACTACCCTCAATAAACCCATTTTCATTTCCAGCATATAATATAATGTATCTAAAATATATTAGTTTTAAATTTTATAGTGCAAATTGTGTAAAAGTACATACCTTTTACCATCTGTTTTAATAGCTTTCACGCTTTTTTGGTTTCCATTTTGCCAAGAGCGACCTATGGTCCCATTTTGAAATATCCAAGTTTCATCGAGGAAGACAAACTGGTATAAGGCTTCAACCTTGGCTGATTGTATTGCCTTAGAAATTCCACCCTTTTCAAAGCTATACTTGGTAGTTCCATGAGCCCTCGTCGCGGATTGTCCTTAAGCCACTTAAATCCAAGATCTCTAAGCAACCGCCTTAAAGACGTGGCACTACCATCAAATAATGCCCTATCTCTTAATCGAGACCATAAAGTTTGTATCGTAACTTGTTCTTCTGAAACCATGTGTAATATGACATTATAATTTAGTTAACAAATTAATGCAAATTTCTGATAAGTTATTATAATAAGATCTTACTTTTGTGATACATATTATAGATCACTTCTCGAATGGCACTTGTATCCAATGTCGCTGTGTTGGTTACACGTTTAATATAACTCCGCTTTTTCTTGGGCGATTCTAAATTTGCATCACTTTTCACACCCTCGGAAATACGACTAACTGTCCTTAAACTAATTTTTAAAGCAGCAGCAACACGCTACAAAAAATGAAATAAATTTCACTATTATTAATATACATTACATATAATTATTAGTAACCTACCTCTTGAACAGCATTTAAAGGCAACAAAGGCCCGTTGTTGTCCCTTTCTTGCTCAAAGTAGTGCATTAACGAGGCCACGAGTTCCTTACACCGACTATTTAACTGTTTGGGCATCTTTATATACCAAAATTGCCTTTATCTACTCGTAAAATGAATAATTTTGTTTTGAAACAAACAGTTGTTGATTTACAGTATGCGGGGCCAAAGGATTTAGGTTTGTATTACTCCTAAAATGATTTTACCGTTACCAAAAGATACCCATGAACAAGTAAGAAGAACCACCTCTAAAAGTCGGAAATTCTGTCATCCACCCCATTACAAAGACAAATTGTTGGAAGAAAAAGATAGGCGTAAAGAAGACCTAAAGAGAAAGGGCGGAAAAACAAAAGTTTTTAGTGATTCTGGGCAAAATACAGAAATACAAAAGAAGAAAAAAGTTGACAATGAAACAGACAATAATACGATTTGTCCCGGATGTTCCGAACATTATTCTAAATGGCTTATTTTTTGTGACTTATGCCTAAATTTAAAAAAATAAGTGTAGGTACAGCCAATTGGGTGATATATTTTACCGCGTACTCTTTAGGATACAATTGAGAACACTTAAGGTACCTGTATCCTAAGAGTACGCATTTTATTGCTTTTGTTTAAACTTTTATATTTTCGTTAAATGTTAAAATGTATGACAAAATTAGTCTTTTAAGTTTAGATTACTATGTAAGCTAAAATATTTTAAATAAAAATTGGTTAAGTGCGTACTCTTGTGCGATCCTACCCTATCAATTTTGTCCTATAAAAGTTGTGGATGTACCTATCCTCTTCAACAGTTACTAAATGACAGTTGTAGAAAAGCTTCCGTTGGGAGCAACATGTTGGCTAAAGTAGTAATTTTGCACAAGTGTCGGGGTTCATAGATACCACAACACAACGCCACAACGGCTTTGACTATCGAGCTAGTATGCCATATAAAATGGTTGTATAAACGTTTATGCATCAGTTCTAAGTTAATCCAATAAGGTTTTGTATAAGTACCTATACCACAGGAATGTTTTATACACCTCAGTTTAGAGCAAATATGCTGCAGAAAGCAAATTTGGTGATCAGGCAAGAACAAAAGAGAGCTCTTCCAGCTTTACAGTTCGTCTATCAAAAACTTAAAGCACCACTTTGCTACTGGTGCTCCTACAACCTAACCTTGCAGGTATTCATTCAATCTCACACCTCTTACCACTGGATCTCCCACTGCACTATTTACCTCTGTGCCGACCAGGACGCCGACATACCGTCATGGGCGTGCCGCTGCGGAGTGGGAGGTTGACTCGCCTATTGGCTATACGCCGGCACCAAGGGGCGTTCAGTGACGTGTCGTTTGCTAAGGGGGCGGAGCATAAGCAGCATCCCTGTCTGACCGACACAGGGTCACAATTAGATGAGCTGCCGGCTCGACTTCGCCGCATCGGAGGCTTCTGTGTCTGTGACGACCGTGTTGTTTTGGGACTTTAGTAAGTGACAAGTACTAAAACGCGGTATAGCTGTGGCAGACAGTGCCTTGTGAGAAATTGTGGCTGTTCTGTTGTCAATTCGGTGAGATGAGCATTTGAGGTGAGTGATAATTCGTTGTTAAAATCTCTGCACTACAATAGAAACTAGTGGCATGTAAATAGCAGCTGTTAAAAGCAATTGTTTCACCAATTAGAAACTATCTCCTCGCATATTCCATAAAGGATTTGAAAATATATTTCAGAAGCTCCACCAAGATCGTAGCATTTTCGTCTTTCGCATTTGCTGGGTTCATGTGACGAACTGGGTGGAATGGTTTTTCCAAATTAGTTGCTTAAATAACCATTATATGGCTTCTATGAAATTACTTTAGAAACTATCTTTAACAAAATAGCATCCAATCATTGACATTGTTTCATTTTGCTCTTAAAGTTAAAACTGTGGATATAGACACCCTAAACAAGTGACTACTAGAAACACCCTTCCTAGTGGTGGTTATAAAATGGTGCTCTTTTGATCTTGATAAACATTCCATGATGGTTTTCACGATTTCTCAATCTTTTTCTTCAAAATACAGTACTAACGCAAAGTAGGACGACAAAATAATAGTACGAGGATTTGGTAAAAGGATATCACTAATTAAAGAGACGACAGCTAAACTAATACAAGTCAAAAATCTATTTATGTAGGTAGCCTATTTGAAAAATACGGTAGGTACATGTTCAGCACTGCTGTTATGTAATTCTTTAACAGTGGCGATGCGTGACTTTTCCTAAACTGTTACGAAAAAAAGTTTATTTTGAACCTCCCAAATATACCTAAGTTTTTGCTTATTTTAGGTATTTTATTTAAACTATTTTTAAATTAAGGTAAACATTGTTGGACTGAGCGTCTGGGGCACTTGATATACATCATCGTCTTATGCTATGACTAATCCAAGCCGTCCGAAAAAACAATCGACGTTTCTTGATGTTCGGAAAATTTTTGATCTTTTTTGGAAATGAATGTTAACAATTCCTTGTAATTTCCTCTATTGTCAAAGCCATCCCCTTCAAAATGAGCGGTAATTCCTGTTTTGCCAAAACATACGGTATCTAGAAGTGTGCTGCCTAAAAGCTTGGTTAAGACAACTTTCGATTCTTGTTTTGCCAAACTGAATTAAATTGGCTACACATCTCACATGTAACGGAGAAATTTCATGTCTCCTCTTTAGAGCCCTAAAACTATTTAAATCGTTGACTCCGCTGCTGGTCCACCCATTTTTTTCTGTATAAAACAAAAGGCATCGCCAACAATATAATATGTTTTTTTGCAACCACATAACCAAGATACTCCATATACCAACTTAATTTAAAGCAGTAGGCAGCAGCGGTGGCCGCAGTAGTAGACTCTTCGATCTCCTGATCAGTCGCCGTGCGCTGTGCGGGTTCGAGTCCCGTCCCAGGATAAATTTTTCTCTTGGCTATGGATGTTGTGATTGTCCGTAGGTGGTAGATGGTCTCTGACTGTCGAACGCGGAGGTACCACCCGGCGGTTCTCGTAGGCGGAGCCAGAATGTGTGCATGTTGCATGCACACGTGTTCTCTCGTGAGAGTACGTGTGGCGTCCCCCCCGTATAGACCCACGGTACCCAATGGGTGCTTAGGCCTTAGGCCTTCTTGGTAGTTGGAGTATAAAAAAAAATCAAACCAAGTTTTATATTCCTTTTTAACATTATCTAAAATAGGTGTTGGTCTTCCATTTTCAATTATACAAGGAGAATGGCTTTTCAAGTAGTTGATCGATTACGCAGCGATACTCATCCATCTTTAATTGCACGCACACTACAGCCGGTAACCAAAACGGCTATTGACTAGTTAGAAGTGAGTAACCAAATCAAAAAATGGGAAAAAGCCCACATAATAGTCGCAGCGCTCCACGCACTCGGGCGGCCGCGATCAGACACGAGCCGGTTCCGGTGGTCCCCGACGGACTACGAAGTGTATCCATAAATGAAAATGGTAACATCCGACAACCATTGTGTTCGCAAAACCTAGACAGTATAGGGCGCATTATTTTCGCGGGGCTAATTTGCTATTTACTGAGTTGCTATTACCTACATATCGCTGTTGGTAAACAAATAAATGAAATTATTTCACAGTACTTAGTCATAAAATATTTATTTAAGATTTTTTAATGTTACCAATGGTAACAATGGTTACATGGACGCTTCGCCACGGTTCTTTAACCAGATAGAATTGCGACTTATAGCCCTACTTCTAGTCACGTGACAGCGGACTTTTAGTTATTTATGTCGTTTTGGAATTTAGTAACTGGTTCTGGCCTGTTTGAGGTTTAGAAGGGGGCCTATAGGTATAGTTTGTTTGCAACTGCAACTGATATCTGTCAAAGTTAATTTGTCCGCTATGAACAAAATATCAAACTGAAAGCCTATGTCACAAACTACTCATAAAACCTTAGTAGGTATAGGTATGTTAAACTCCTACTACCTTATATGGCCACCAATGTGAGCTGGTTTAACGGGACCTGATATTCTGTCCAGCTTATAAAACTTGAAAATTTAGCATAGTTTTTGGTTGGTTTGGTTTATTCTCCTGAGAAGATTTTCTACTTTCCTCTCTACAAAAAAAAATTTAGGGCTGTTCCATAATGATAATATATAAAAGTTTCTTATCTAATGAGAAGAGCGGAGGAGATGGGGGAGAGCTGTACTCAGACATTGTTTTGGAAATTTGATTTGCTTTTTGATCATTTGGGGGCCCAAGTCCCGTGTGCTCATACGGTAAAGGCGGAGTAGGGGAAGACGTTCCTGGTAACAGGAGGATGATTTGCAGTCTTCACTGGCTAATAAAGCTATTCAAGAGGAGCTGTTTGAAATTTAGCATAATGAAAAGAGTTATGGCATGTCAAAGACGTGCAAAAATTTTACGTGTTTGTTTAATAGGTACAGGAGTCACGCTCACACTGCGTGTCACAACAATATTCTCAAAGATGGTGAATGTGCATACGCATCAGAGTCCTTCAGACATTTAGAAATTACTATAGATCGGGTATATTCATAAGTAGACCAGAGGAATGTCAAGGGTATGATAACCAAAAAGTCTATGAAGTAAAAAATAGCCTATCGCTTCTGGAAAAAAGCTTTATTTGCATGTTCTTTGTAAAATATGTGCATCATTTCCCAGTTATAGAGAATAAAATTTATTTAACGTTCTTCAACGGGGTGCACTCGAGGTAGGAAATAAATTCGTTCAATCTCGGATGCTTATGTCGCAAATCAAGAATTAGACAAGAACAAATTAGTTAGAAAGCTTAGGAGATAAATGTCATTTGAGAGTTTCATGTTCCTTTCAAATTGCGAAATCCACCATAAAGTGTAGAAATTTATTTATTTGTGGGTGTCTTTTTACTTTATGTGATACTGTAACATTACCATTATACGAGTGCTGCTTTTGGTTTATATTTCCTGTTCTTAGAGCAATGTGGTGAGGTGACAACCAAAACATAACCAAAGTTCTTCATTTGGTATACGCGGCTTAAGCTCTAGAGCTAACAATCAGTTTGAAAATGTTGCAGCTTATTTCAAATCACAATGTATCGCTTTCTATCTGAATTAATTGAGCTGTCACCATATTTTCCTCTGCTAGAGCTACTGTTATCATCACTGCGTTCACACGAACAGGTAATCATGTCTCCAACCGATTTAGCATAACTCAGTTTAAGTCAATATTACTAGGTTGAATCTAGGCTAATAAAAATTATATATCTCTCAATCAAATAACCTGTACTAAGAATATGGTGTTTAACCGTCCAAGATAAGTCTCTTATGCATGTGGATCTCAATACCTGTAGGGATACAGCTTAAGTTGAAATAGGAAAAGGCTGCTTTCATTGGGGCGAATTTACATGCCGTTTAGAAATTTCATGGCTCACTTAGGCACTTGGGAAAATCTGAATCCTTCTTATGTCTTTCTGAGTTTATTTTGAAAAATATCAACAACAAATGGAACATTTTTATTGTCACATTTTAGGCACTCAAGATGGTGTTTTTAACTTTGTGTCCGACGTTACGTTTTTGAGAAACCACCATCACCATTAATAAGGTCCGAACAAAAAGTACACCCTGATGGCATCTTTTTCTACGAATTGAACGATGTATCACATGCTACATTGGTTTTTTAAGTTTTGTTTCATTTCATTTAAGTAGGCATTGCAAACAAATGCTTGCTATAAGATTTTGTGATTACTGATAGATGCATAATTACATAATGATATGATGGGGTAAAATTTAAAAAATGATGCTTAATCTAGTGATATTCAGAATAACGAATACATGTTTAACATTTTTCTTATTTTATTCACAATAGGTGTTCAAATGAGTTGCCATTATTTTCTAAACATGAATATGATCTTCTGACAGTAGAATTCAAAACATCACGTAACATATCTGGTGTAATCATACTAAGCGATCCCATTACATACTCCCGTAGCTGCTGTCCAGTTTCAAAAGAATGCTGACAAACTTGGTTTTCAATAAAACCCCAAATAAAAAAAAGTCTAGAGGAGTTAAATCTGGGGAACGCGCTGGCCAGGACAGTACACTGGAGGTTCCAATCCACCTTCCAGAAAAATGCTTAGATAGATTCTCTCGAACTTGCCTAGAGTTATGTGCAGGAGCACCATCTGCCTGAAGATCACGTTGCAACAATTTAAGGTACCGTTCTGCAGTTATGAGTTGTGGTAAATAAATGAACCTAATATTTTGGTCCTTAGAATTACACACCAGATATTAAGCCAAAGACTTTCTTGATTTCTGGATACTTTTTTAGCCCACAGATTTTCTTGAGCCCAGTAATGAGTGCTGCGGCGATTAAAGATACCATTATTAGTGACCGTACTCTCATCCATATTATTTTTGAAGAGAAACTAAATTTTCTTCACACGTTAGTGTGAACTGCTCACAAAAATCCTGGCGCAAGTCCTGAACTTATAGGGGTGATACATATTTTACGCAAAATAAATTGAGCTGCGGATTTGACTACTTAAATTGCCTAGCTGATACCTCAGAGTTCTCAGGAACTGCTTGTAAGACACTATTCTCA